TAACCGTCCTCCGGCGGTGGAGCCCACCGCCAGCCACCCCCTGTCGCTGCTGTGTCCCGTCCCCCCCACCTCCAACCTTATCCCCCCCTCCTCCTCCTCCTCTCTCTGCCCCCACCCCTCCACCCGCCTGTCTCCGCGCCGTGGGGGCCTCGCTTCACCTCGCCTCACCTCAGGGTTTTCCCCGCCTCAGGGGTTTCCCGCCCTCTCCGTCTGGCAGCGTTGTGTGTGGGGGGGACTGAGGGGGCTGCTCCGCCCGGGGCCTGAGGGGGCTTCGACCCCGTGTTAACGGGGCTCGGAGGCCCTGGAGCCGGTACCCTGCTCCCCTCGCCCCCCCCCTCCCGTGGGGCTGTGCTCCTGAGAGGCCAGAGGCCCTCCTTGGCTTTGGGGGTCACGCCACAGCATCGCCGCACACCCCAGTTTTTGGGGTGGTTTGATGGTCCCCTCAGTAATGTCACACCTGCCCCATGCTCTGTTGATCGGGGCGATTTGGTAAACGCCGGCCCAGCGCCCCTCTGGGGTGTAATCCAAGTATTCCTGGTTCCCTTCGTGTGACTTGGAGCGTCGGGATGAGGTAGGGGACCGTTGTGGAGGTTCCTACACCAAACGTTGAGGCAACAAGTTGTTGGTTCAGGTTTGTAACCTCCTCGAAGCAGAGGCCGTCTCTACTCTGTTGTAGAGCTTAGCTGATTGAGACTCTAGTCCAAGACTCAGCGCAGGCCCTTGTTGTGGTAAAAGCAGTAATTTACAATTGCAAACTGATAGCTGTGTTTATGGGAACTGGGGTGACTGGTCTGTAAAGCTAAACAAAGCGTGCTTTCCTGAGGTGAACCTCCACTTCTGTTCTCTCTAGTGCCTGGTCATCTTGTTAGGAAAGGAAGAGAGGAAAGGGGTTAGATGGGAGAATGGTTAGTTCACATCAATCACTGATACTGGTTTACATCTTTACTCAGGCCTTAGTGGCGAGCAAATGGAAAGGGTTAGTTTGCATCAACCACTAATACTCATTCACATTTTCACTCAGGACTAAATGGCGAGCAAATGGACTGTTTGAAGCACTGGGTTTGATCGCCTGAGAGGAGGGACTCTGCTGAGGATAGCCCACAGGGAATCTGTTGGGTATCTCTATCATCTCACTCTTCCCTGATATGGAACAAAGTGAAGGTGAACAGGAATCCCAGCCAGAGAGTCAGGTGGATAGCAAGAGCAGCGTGAAATCCTTGCCTGGAGGAGAAGCCCATGTCAAACTAGAGATAAAAAAACATGCAGTTACGGATGACTACAAACTCTCCAAACGGGTGCTAGGGTTAGGAATCAATGGCAAAGTACTGGAGTGTTTCAACAAGGAGACCGGCCAGAAATGTGCTTTGAAGGTACGTAGGCTTTTTCTTTTTTTCTTTGTTTATGGTTTGGAGGCCAGAGTCCAAAGCCTTGTAAAAGCTACTTGTTCTGTTGCTTACATTTCACATTGTTATATTTCTGTTGCTTACATTTCAAGAGTGATGCATGAAGAATTGGAATACGTGAAGACGTTTGCTATTACTTACAACATTGTAGTCCAAACTTTGAGTCTTTTCCAGAATATTCTGCGTGAGTTTCCAGAAGAACGTTATCAGCTGTGAAATTCTCGTGTTCATATTTAAAAGACAAAAAAGCGGGGGAGAGAGCAGTGTCTTGGTGTGTTCTGTGAGAAAGCTTGCTAGATTTTGAATGAACATATTATGCAATACTTGGGAAGGAAACTATTTTGGGTCTTGTGCAATGAAATGGGCCTAATCTGGGAAGTATTTAAATATTCATTGGTCTTCAGGCTTCCCTCCCTTTTGAAGACTTTTCTTAAGGGACATTTCTATTTGTTTACTCAATTATTCTCCTCTTTATTTTTGCAATCCATTTACAGAAGGGCATTATCTGGGAAAGCACTGATTACACCAGTATTGGCAAGTAAGTTTAGTAGATATTTATGGTGATAAGTACCACTTAAATAAATGGAGCAATAACCATTCATTAGAGAACATAAAGCGTACCTGCCTTTTGCTCTGCAGCTTTTAAACTTGAAGATTTCCCTGATGCTTTTAAACCACGTTGCTAGAAAAAGGCAGCTCAAATGAGAACCAGGGAGGTTCTGTATGGTAGGACTGAAAAACAGCTGAATTGATTGTCATGAGAATTACTTAAGAATGTTACTGAGTCTTTGCTGATGTTAATCTTATTAGTTGGGATGTCTACAAGTACACTTTCAGGTACCCTTCGTTTCCTTAAACCTCACACTCCATGTTTGCCCTCAGCTGGAGGGTCTGCCAAGGTCTGGACGCGGTCTTACCAAGCTGGAACTGTTATCCCCACCAATGCCTTTGCGGTTTGATAGAACAGACTGGAAGTACCTGGTAGCTTTGTGTGTTGAAAAGATTTTTTTAAATAGAAGAATAGAAAAGCTTATAATACAATAACATGATGATTAATTCACATGTTTCCAACACTGTCATTTTCTTTGTCACACCGTTTTTTGTATTAGCTTCACGTAGCTGACTTGCTGAAGCTCATCGTGGGGAAACTGGAGGTTTTGGCAGAGAGACTGGAAGTACTGGGGTTTTGCACTTGCATAGGGGAGTGTCAGGTTTTTACAACTCTGAGGTGATCCATTAATCAGATCCTTCTGAAGTGCTATCAACATTAATTTCTATACTTGGCATACTGTGATGAGGGATAATGGTTAATACTGAAGCTGTTGTGCTGTGTCTGAAGAGCTCAGCTGCTTTGTTGCTGATTGTATACCATTCATACTTCAAAGGTTTTGCGGTCATAAGGGCTGGAAGCATTTTAAAATAGAAGTGACCATTCCAGTGGCAACAAGTGTGTTCCAGAGCAAATTCTGTAGCTCTGGAATCAAACGGGAAAGAGAGTCCTATGGATACTAGCATCTGTATGGTATTTTCTTCATTCAGCACTCAGAGTTGGGGAAGGGGAGAAGAGAGGTGAAGTTGCTGTGCTCTGACAGAATGTCTTCTGCCTGATGGGGAGGAGGAACCTACAGTAGATCCTCTAATACCAGTTTCTGTTTAGCACTGATTGAGCTGGCTGATTTTTTCAGAACTTTTGAAATATATTAAGGACCAAAGCACCACCCCCCTTCCCAAATTGGAGTTTTTGTCAGTAATGGCTAATGTATCACTGAAATTATGTTATATATGTGTTTGTCATCCTCCCCATGGCCTTCTCTCCCCCGGCTGTGGAGTGTGTGTACTTTTCTTCTGGAAGGGACCGAAATATTTAGATGTTTATGAGTTCTCTAGGGAGTTTAAATGGCAGATAATAGTTTGCTGGTTGTGTGTATGTATTTCTCATCGTTATGAGTTTAAGTGCTGAATAAAAAGTTAAATATGCAATTAAGTAAAACTGCCAGCAGCCCAGAGAGAATCCGCTATTCTCTCCAAAGATAGTCTAATGAGAAGATTACCCAACAAGGAAGGATAAAAACTGTGCTTGGTTAATTGGCAAGAATAGAAAGATCTTTTCCTAGCCCTGAAGATATTTGCAAGGATGAAAATACTCAGAGGAAGTTTTTCCATTGTTTCTTATGAAGCTTGAACTCAGCCTCGCAAGTCCCAGACCTGCTCCAGATGAGGCTTCAGAGCAAGCCACCCAGTCGAACAGTCATGGAAAAGGGACAAGAAACTTGGGGAAAAAAATATGTTCAGAAGCAGCTTCAATGCAGAATTCTCTGCGTAGGGACAGCAGGGCTTTGGCGTTTCTGCCTTGCCACTGCTTGTACTTCCTGGGTGCGATGGCAGGGTTATCATTCACTTACAGGAATAGAAAGTGGAGGCTGATGAAGCTGTCAGAAAAAAAAAAACCAACCCCAAACTGGTCTGACAGGTAAAAAGAAATGTAAAGATTGAATTGCAAGTTGAACAGGAAAAAAAAGGGATGGTGGCTGGATGTTTTTATCTGGAGGCTGCTTGTGCAGTATCCATTGAGATCTATCTATATTTGTGGACAAATATCTCAGGTGTGAGTGTGCTCACTGCAACCTATTCCTGGGAAAGGAAAAACATCACTCCTGCTGCTGAAGATAAAGCGTAATAGCCTGTTCCCCTTCACACCAAACTTGCCCATTAAAGCAGCTTCTGACTTGGCAGATGGCACTGCTTTCTGCCTGCAGGTTTTCTTTTATATGGGAACAAAGCCAGCACAGCCAGGATCTGGATAGAAATTACTCAATGGAAGGAATTTTAACTGAGGTACTCAAGAGGAAAGGGCTTGAACAGGCAGAAACTGTTCCTCCCCAGAGCCATGTGTCAGTCAAGCACTACATACTGTAATTGGGAGGTCCTGTTGTCTTCTTTAGTCTGTATAGTCTGTATACGTAATTGGAACTAGTTAGAATTTCCCTAATCATTTTAGAGTGGGAAAACACAAGGTGTCCTCTCGGAGATACTGCAGGGCTTTGGTTATTTTCCGAAAGTATTATGTGGCTTAGGCTACTCTGCTTGGCATTGTGATTTGCTACACGCTTTTACAGTGTGCTGTCAGCTGTGTTCCTGTTAGATTGAAATGCCACACGCATTGCTGTCCTGCTCCAGAAACTCTAATCTGGTTACTCGCTTAGACACATAATGACATTTTGGCTGAACAGCACTGTGTCCAAATAGTGAGAACTCGGGGATTTAAAAAAGTAGAAGCATAAACAAAACTGCTGTGCCGGACCGTGGCCATTTAGAAGGCAGCTAGGTTTTGGTCTCTCTCTCCCTTGCAAATAGAAAACTTTCTCAGATCTCCTTCCATAGTTGAACCAGAAATAGCAGTCAAGTGAAGTCCAGTCACTCTTCTATTTTTATCTCTTCTTTGCCAGCCTGCCCCCTTCTGTTCACTTTACCTTTTGGGGCTAAAATTTAACCTCCACGCCTTTAACACTGTCATCAGCCTGAGTGTTCTCTGCTGGTTTTCTCAGTCCTCCCTGATTTTAGGGAGAGGAGGAGACCAAAATAGCTGATAAATGTGGACTCCTGGGACTTGCCTCCCATTAAAAAAAACCCAATGTACAGTCCCTTGTTCTTTCTTTCTTTTTCCCTCACTTCTTTGTGAGGGAAGTGAGGTTTTTTTTTTTGGTTGTAAATTCGTGCTAAACGGTGTCAAAGTAATATTTCAGTACATTTGACGACCTACTTTATTTTTTGAAAGATGGTAGAAAGGGCTCAGACAGGGTTGGGATCGAGAAAAGAGAGCTAGAGAGCATTCTGCTGGGGCATTGGGACTTCTCTGCGTCTGCAGCTTCAGGATTTTGGTGGATGCTTCAGATGTAAAAGTAGTGTTACATGTCGTCACTGGCGTAATGTTCACCTTCAGTAAACAGATGCTGCTTCTTTCCAGGAGAAGAAAAGGAAGGACAATTCAGGCATAGCAGCAAAACAAAGACCCTTGGAACTTCAGGAAAACAAAAGTGCCTCTAGTCAGGATATTTGCTTATGAGTGTATTGGTACTTCTGATAGGAAAACTCTCCTGAATAACAGTATAGCAGCTGTAAAGTGCTTCTCCCCTCAGCACTGTGCATATGCACCATATACTGCAGCTCTCTTCCAATCGTCTGAGACTTCCAGGTTATGGCACAGTGTATATGAACAGACCTGCTAGTTCCTAGGTCTTATCCTCTGGAATAAATAGCGTGTTAAGTCACGACCTGCCTCATGGAAAATGTCCTGTGCTGCTGAGTGCCAACAATATAGTGTATGTGACTTGCTGATTGGAAGATAAATGGGTAAAGCCCACATGTTAAATAAAGGGAAAAGCAAACAGAAAAAATGAACAGGCTCCTTGCCTTTTAGATTTAAGGAATTTTGGTGAATGATATAAATGATAACAATAGAGTAGGAGGCTCTACTGTTATCCGTAAGAGTATTAGCATGACTTTGTGCTCAAAAGGAAAGAAAGCAGGTCATAAGGAAAGAAAGTTTGGGGAAAAAATAACTCCCGGCATGGTTCTTGGAAACCACACATAGGACTGTATAGAGAATGTTGTTCTGCTTTTTGAAGTGGAGTAACTGTGGGGAAACATAGTCATTCTGCATCACCTTAATTTTATCTAGTCTTGAGCTACGTTTCTGCCTCTCATTCAATTTTAATGTTTCTGATTACGTTAAGTAATACTACATCATGTAAGCTAATTGCTAGATAGTCTGTTTTCAGTTAGTATACCCTGAAGTCAGGTTGTGATTGCTCACAAATGGGAGACTCTCCAGTCCAAAGTATTTGTTTTGCGAGTTATCTAAATAGCTGGTACTTGTAAAATACCCTGTTTATTGCCTGAAATAAGATGATGATCAAGGAAGAGAATGCAGGGGTAGAGAATGCAATGTGTACAGTGAAAGTGAAGGT